CATTGTGGGAAAATTCTACTACCAGTCCTTCATCACCTTAGACGAAACAGGGTGAATACATCTCATTTTCCTTCGAATATTTTTACTCATTTTCGATACACTTTCACTCAAATTGGAAGTAAGCTCGACTGAGCTTTTTGCGTGGGCATTGCCAAAAATCAAAGAAGAATTGCCTGAAAGTGCCGCTTCATTAGTTTTTTTTTACAAAAAAAACACATAACTCTACTTCAACAAGCAGATTTAGCCAATTTTCGATCTCTTCCCATCCAACTCGCCTTGGAAAGCCAGTTCTTCTTCCCTGTTCAATTGTTCCATGCAGAGATTGAATTGATGCCACATCATCTCAGAATGGAGGCTGCTTGATGCAAGAGCAGTCGCAACTGCGGCAACCCAGCAACGCTTCCATTCTCCGACATGGCGGCAGCCTCTCCGCTGCCACAAAGACCCCAGTTCGAGTCGCACCGCAACGCTACAAAGCCCTCCTCCGCCCCACTGCCCCACCCACCCAGCCAACCAGCCCACTCCCATTTCGAGCTGTGTGTGTGACACGCAAATCGACAGACTTGTTCTGTCCTTCGCAATTGTCGGCCAAAGCTGGTCTCCGGACTAATTGCCCTGACTCCGAACTGGGATCGGGTAAACCACAAAACCAACCGAAACCCCGCTCTGTTTTATTATTTGACCCTACACAAATGCACACCGACAAATGGTGATAGTTGAACAGACAGACAGGTAAAAAAAAAGCAAAACTACACACCCAGTCATGTGCACACAATAAACACATGCACGCACAGACTGGTACAAGCACTCGAGCCGACATGTGACACTTGTTGCCTCTTTCCGCCTGCTCTCTCGCCGCTCCCCCCCCAACCTTGTCGCTTTGGTCTCGTGTCGTCGGGGTGCCTGCATCGTCCACGCGCCCTCTTCTCTCAACGACACCTACAACGGTTGTCTTTACTGCCACCTACCACCTACCACCTACCACCTGCCACCCCCTCCTCCACTAGCCTCCTTTTTATGTTCTCTTGTTCACCCACATGCCCCCCCGCCCCTTCCACCCGCTTCCCTTCACCTCCACATCGCACCTCGGATCGGGCTCCGACCACCGCCGGAGTGTCGACTCGGCTGTACCTGCGAGGCCAGTGTGCCACATGTCGGCCTCGAGCAGGCAGCTTTACGACCCGTTCTAGCTCCGACCGGCCGAGGCCGACGCGAAAGGAAGAAGTCACTTCTCGACAGCACCGTCGTCCGTCGCGAGGCTGCCTTGAGGAAAGTGAAGCTGGAGCTAGACAGCACCGCGGGTGCTAGCGACCGAAACATAAGACCTCGGCGGAAGGGGGAGGGGGTGGGTGGGTAGAGGAGGTGTCGGCGTTCAGGGTACATGTTTAGGAGGATATGGATGGGGTGTTTTTGCGTGTGAATTGACCGGATAGCTGAACCCTCTCGACCGGCCTCGCTTGGCCAATTCCCAAATGAAGCTGTATCCTTTTATGCCTGCCACACGAGAGGCTATGGTATGCAAATTTGTTACTTGAAGAGGTGAGTGCATGTGCATGTTTGGGTGGGTGTGGAGGGAGAACAGAGAAAATGGGGAGTTTAAGAATCGGGGTGTGTGTATTGCACAGATTTCGACTCACTTTGGCACAAGTGGTGGATGGATCAAATGCCATACCAATTGGCACATTTGGCTATTCAGGTGGAAAAAAGGTGTCGGCCATCACGGCTCTTCATGCTTCAGTGGTCGATCCGTTCGCGTGGCTAACGGAAGCAACTTTGTCGTGCAGATTTGGCCGACGGAAGGTGAACCAGGTCCCGTCGGAAGGGGTCAATCCGAATTGGGCATAAAAACAGTAGCTTCTTTTTGATGTCGCCAATGGAAAAAGCCGGTAAATGATGCACGGCGCGTATAACAGAGACTGGAAAACAACGTCCCACGTCCAGATCGGAACGTTTTTCAATAAATTCTATGCATTGTTCACCATTTTTCGGTGAATACAACATCCACGCCAAGGCACGTGACAGCAACAGGTGCGTCGTCAACATGGTTGGACGATATTTTTAAATTAATGGTTTTGGTAACTTTCAGTTCGTGTGACGGTGCCTAATGAATGGCTGCGAAGGTCATTCTCAGCTGAATGCTCCGTAAAAGTGGCTTCCGAGACTATCACTGATTCACGAATAAAATGTTTTCATTTTTCAAGCAAGTAGATCAGATAAACAAGGTGCATTCACCCTATTTTCGTTAAGATGAGCAAAGATTGGTATTAAGTATTGTGTTTGTGACTACCAGTAAATCAGTAATATGAGATGTTTTCTCTCAATTCCGGTTAAGGTGATGAAGGACTGGTGGAAGAAGAATTTCTCCAGAATCATATGAGTTGAGCTGACGTTTCCATTCAATTTCACATAGTCTTCCTTTCCCAAAAGTTGTTCCCCGGATGAGACCAATTGCGGGAAAATGCTTCTTCTACCAGTCCGTCATCACCTTAAACGAAAATGCTGCAGGAAAAGGGAAGAAACATGTCAAGTTGCGTTACGATACTTTTAAGTTAATGGTTTTGGTAACTTTCAGTTCATGTGACGGTGCTTAGGGAATAGCTACGAAGGTCATTCTCAACTGATTTTTCCGTAAAAGTAGTTTGCAAGACTGTCAGTAATTCACGAATAAAATGTTTTCATTTTTCAAGTAAGCTTTTGACACTACCAGTAGATCAGATATACAAGGTGCATTCACACTATTTTTGTTAAGATGACGAAATATTGGTATTAAGTATTGTGATCGTGACTACCAAAATCAGTAATATGAGATGTATTCTCCTAATTCCTTTTAAGGTGATGAAGGACTGGTAGAAGAAGAATTTTCCCACAATCATATGAGTTGAG